GAAAACAAACAGATTTGTCCTGGAGAGGGTTAAACCGGGTGGCCCCTTGGAGGCAAGGATTCTGAGGCTCCGTCTAACTTACTTTGGACATGTTGTGAGAAGAGACCGGTCTTTAGAGAGGGACATCATGCTTGGGAGGGTGGAGGGACGGCGCCGGAGAGGAAGGCCCTCTATGAGGTGGACTGATTCAGTGACTGGGATAATTGGGATGGGAGTGTCAGAGACAGTGCGATTGGCACGGGACAGAGCGGAGTTTAGGGCTGTTGTACATAGGGTCGCTATGAGTCGCAAGCGACTCGACGCCACATAACAACAACAACACGGTTCATTATAATTCTACCTGAAAGATCTAGGTAGATTATGAAAAATAACAGTATTTCCTGGTTCCTTGGGAAGCTGAGAACATAGACTGCAATAGTCCCTGCAAACGTTTCATTTCACATAGTTGAGTATTAAATGCCAGGCTGGTGAGGCAGCCCTTTTCTAGAGGATTATCTCTTACAATCAAGTGACAGGCAAAAAGAGAAGTCTTTCTGAGCAGGTACTATCTAACCTGCTTGTAGAGATGGAAAGGCTGATTAATTCTAGACAAATTTGGCCAGATTAAGCCAAGATATGAGGAAGTCCAATGGTTATTTTTAATTTCCTACTAATAGACACGGCACGTGGACTGACTAACATGATAATATCAACCACCAAGGTTGTAACTGCCACAACAGCTAGTCCGGGTCATTCATACTCAACATCACTTTGGAAATTCTGACATGGACCTTTAAAAAATCTTTTGTGAGGGAAGAAAATGTTAAGTGTGGAAGCAGAAAAAAGCTCACTAGTGTATTATCTAGGGAGCTCTGGTGGCCAAGTGAGTAAGAGTTACGCTGCTAACCCAAAGGCAGGTGGTTCTAATTCACCAGCTGCTCCATGGGAGAAGGCAATATTGTCTTGTTATTATGTACCAATGAGTCAGAGCCAACCCATAGCTGCTCCTCTGGCAGGTTTTCAGAGGCAGTTAATCTCTCATGGAGCAGCTGGTAGCCTTGAACTGTGTGCCCTTGGGCACATCGCAGCTTGTTGCCATTAGGCCAACAAAGCTCCCTTAGTTGATCTTTAAAAGAGTTGAAGAACAGAGAAGGCAACTCTTGAAGATATCAAAACAATTACTGTATCAAAAAATTACTCACTGACCTTTCTCTTTATCTAATGGTGGAAGGATGCTGTTGTCTCGGCAGACCTTGAAATAGATCTCCTGCTCAATTCCCTCAGGAATGGCTCCTTGTGGGATAATTATACTAACACCAGTTTCTATGGAACTTAAGACTCCACCGTTGTTGTTAAATACACCTCGGGCTGTGGCGACAACAGTATGACCATCCTCGTCTTCATCCTCTTCCACAGCTGAAGGGCTAAGAGTCCAAAAATGGCTAATAAGTACATTTCTTTTCTTTTTTTATCATTAAAAGACATCATCTTGGCTTATTTATATTTAAACAGAATAATGATTTAGAAATTTAATACATTCTGGCATGGTAGATGTTTGACATGAAACACAGGTATATCAGAATGGGCATCAGAAAAATAGCATCTCATCTTACACATAATAACTAAAAACAGATCTCTCTCTGATCACTGATGTATTATAAATCCTGAGAATGTTATCCACTAAACAAACGAGGCACTACCTTATTAAATCTTGTTTGAAAGTAATCCTTAAAAAAATCTTCTGGGGTACAAATCACCTTGATATTATTAAACATGAGTTCTGTACATCCTACAAAGTATTTAAACAAATATATCAAATAATTACAGTCCTATGGCTCTTTAAGCAGTTACTAATCAGGTTCAATGACACACTGTTCCACAATTTCATGTAAGTTAGGGTTCTCCACTGCAGCTGCCACTCATTCTTTGTCATTTATCTGCTTGTTAATGTCTTCTTCTGTTGAGTGGGTTCCTTTAAAAATGTAGATTTCCAACTTATGTTTAAATGGTAAACACCGCTGAAGTTTTACTCTTAAGCACAGCCCAATAAGAGTTGCTAAAGAGGCATGAGGTACTGTTGGCGTGAACCTGATAATAACCAGACAGTCTTCTTCACCAATCTCTTGAACTTCCACACAACTTTCTGTTACTACTTCCAGTTCTTCTAAAGTATTGGGTTTCTCTGGGTGCCGGATTGTTTGAATCAAATCATAAACTTCTAGGGCTTTCTCTTCCATGTTCCGGGGCTGCCAGGCAGCTCCCCACTCAAAGGGGTCCGAGCGCCAAAGGACTCTGTTCAGCAACCAGGAAAACAGCTCGCACAAACGCTCCATGCTCCTTCTCCGCCATCCCTGTTGACTGTCCCACCAGAGCCACCGTCTTCTAGAGGCTGATCTCGGAATCTAGTAAGTACATTTCTATTACACAGTTCTCCTTTCCTTACTCTTTTTAAAAAGCAGTCCCATGTTTATTTCTTCTTAAACCAAAGTACTATTTTCAGCGACTTGATTTTACTCCAGTTGTTGTGTATTGTAGAGTCAGAACCGACCCATAGCTGACCCTCCAGAAAGTTTTCAGAGGCAGTTAATTGTGCAGGAGACTACCCAGCCTTCTCCTGCAGAGCAACTGCTGGTCTCGAACTGCTTGCCTTTGGGACTGCAGTGCAGCTTTTTGCCACTAGACCATCAGCTCTCGCTAGTGGTAACTAAAAACTTAATTCTCCCCAGAGAAATCCATTTAATTTTTGAAGATATAATCACATCAAAGGTACCTTTATTATTTATTTTCTGCAACTTAAATGTATAAAACCTGATTCATTAAGCACATAATGATTAGTTTTTTAACATCCATGAAATTAGTACCTTATTATGAATTTAGGTAAGGAGCCAATGATAGCATCTTTCCTTCCTTCTGATATATATAAAAAAATAGTTCAACGGACAGCATCTTAAATTTGAAATAATAAACAGTCACTTGGTTTTGCATCTCTCTAGGATTTTAAATGTGCAGATTGATTGATACACTACTATAGAAAAGAAAAATATTGGCACTTTTCAAATCCATGATCTGACAGGGGCTTTAGCTCTCAAATTCTCCCTGAATACCAAAAGCCAGTGCAGGCAAAGCCTAGGCTTGAGTCTAAAGGGTAAAGACACTGGTAGGGGTACATAGCAGACATCCATGAAAAAAGACAGGATGTGAACTTAGGACACACAGAGAACCAGAGACAAAGAAGATGCAGTGTTAACGACTCAAAAAGCCTCAACCGTGAGATCAGTAATGGACCACTGCTTGAAGTGAAACTTTAGGCTCAGGGTTAGAAAGACCAGTTATTTTGTATCTTAAAGGTAGCTAAACTTCTATACAAGGACCAACTGGGATAGACACAAAGATATATGGCAGCAAGTGGCAGCCATCATTTGAAGGCCCAATGTCATATAACTTCCACAGAGAATAGCCCACAGCTTCTCTTCCCAGTGAATTGAGAGGCGCATACAGCAGGAATTACTGGGCTGTACCTGCCCCTGGCTCAGAGTGCAGGCTCTTGTGCTGGACAATGTAAGTGGACTAAGAGCTGGGATGTGTCAGGTGTGTGTTCAGAATTTGGCCCTATTCTGAATGAAAGGACAAACAGGAACACAGGCAGAGGGGTTCTGGGTGAGCTCAGACTGTCTTGTTTGTTCAGCCCTCTTATTATTTTAACTGTTATTTTAACAGTCATTTTATGGTTGTTATGCCTTCATTTCTTCGTACCATCACTAGTGAACTAGTAGTGAATGAAGAGCACAGAGAATTGTTTTTGTATCTTCAAATATACAAATAGAAGGTTAACTGGGAAGCTGGGTAAGACTATTACTCTAAGGTCAAATGACTTGGGTCTACACCTAAGCATATTCTCTGGCAAACAGATCATATCACTTAACTAGAGTTTTAATTAAAAGATGGGATAATAATAATCATGCAGGATCTTAGCTTTTTAATTTAGTAATGTTGTCATGATTCCTGCAAAATGTCCTAGGTAACAGCATTCATTCAAGAGTTAGACTTATTTCAAGTTCCAAACTCACATTAAACCCACGTAAGGACAAATCACACAGCCGATGTTTAATTAGGCTAAATGCTTACCTCCCTGGAACAGCTTTAGGCACTGTGCTGATACTGTTTGTTTGGTATTTAAGCTTGTCTGCATGAAGAGAGAAGGTTTCAACTCCACTGTCAAACCCAAGAGATTGTGCTGAACTGTGTGCTTTAAGAACAGTCTTAGGAGATGCAGGGGCTTTTGAAGACAAATCTGGTTTGTGCACAGTTTCACTTGTCAAAAGATTGTGATTGAATTTAGGACTTTCAAACTTGCGTTCAAATGGTCTAGCAGAACTAGTGTAAGGTTTGGGTGTGAACCGGTTGTATGCTGGAGTGACCGTTTTCTGAGTCTGTTCAGCTCCATTTACTGAAGTTTTATCTGTGAAATTTTTTGGGGGGCACAAAGTAGACTGAACAGTATCTTCTCTGTTCGATGCTCTGAAAATTGCTGGCTTATTTTGAGATGGAGGTGGGTCTGGTTTGGACACTAAAGAATTCTGAAAATCCAACGATAGTGAATTACCTGAAAAAGCAAACACATATTAGCATGTAAAATACTTTCTGAAAGAAGTATTAACAGACTAAGTTCTTTCACACGTCAGCTTGCTCTAGCTTCAAAGCTTAGGCATAGGGCTGGGTGTTGCCCTCAGAGTGGCTATGTCTGATGCAGAAAAGACCAAGACCCTTGTGGAACGATTAGTCTATGATCTTGAAGTCAGGGCCTTGCTGGTGGGAGAGCCTGGCCTCCAGACCACTCAACACTAACCACAAATTAGAGAAAGAAGGACAAAGTCAATTACTATTAAACAAAAACAACAACAAATGAGCATTTAAAAACTCATCAGTTAAAGTCAAAGAAAAACTAAAGATTGGGAAAGGATATTCCTATAACATGTATGAAAAAGAATTAACACCCAAAGCACAGAAACAATACTCATAAATCTACAAGAAAAAGTCAGTAGGAAGATGGGCAAAGATACAAAAAGGCAGAAGTGAAATCTAGAAGATCCAGAACTATAAGATACTCAACTTCCTCATCAACTATGAAAATGCAAAGAACATGAAATACTATTTCACATTTATCAGGCTGGCAAAGGTCACAAGTTTCAAACCACCAAACTGGTCAAGACGTGAAAAAGAAATTGTTGGTATACTTGGTGGCAAGAGAAAAATGATCTTTGTGCAATCTGAAAAGGGAACACGTCCCAGTTCTCTTTCACAAAAGTAGCATAATTTTGGTATCAAAAAAGGAATTATAAGAAAATCCCTTTTAAATAGTGTACTGTCACATTAAAAGAATAAAGAAAAAAAATAATACGACCAACTTAATATATACAAAATTGGCAAGAGGCTTGGAACAAACAGGAACAGAAGGAAAACCATAAACCTGATAAAAAGCATTTCTGAAGAATCTAGAACTAACATCAAACTAGCCAAACCTAACAATAATTTTTTTCCTTAATATCAGGAACCAAATATACTTTTTCTCATTATAACAATAAGTACACTAAGACAAGAAAAAGGAATAAAGGCTGAGTAGTAAGAATTCAAAGTCTTTATCTGTAGATGTTAATTGTATATGAAGAAAATTCTAACATAAAGTAACATCCATCTACAATTACAATTTGTCCGTTTGAGGACTTACATATCCTGGAATTTGACTCACACAAATAACAGTATTGAATGTAGTAGTAAAATGTCAACTGAGGTACAGTTTAATAAACTCTGGTACTTATTCTTAGGGAAAATGATTCTATTGCTTAATGTACATGTAATAAGAACATTAATAAATGAGAGATTTTAAATCTACCTTGTTGCAAAGAAATAGAAATACAAAAGGTAAAGTTACTAATGATAGGTTTTAAATTAAGCTGTGAAAACATGGAAGATACATTAAATGTAATACATGGTATAAGAGATCCCAAATTTAGGGTAATGGATACCACTGGAGAAAGAAGACTAAAAGGACAGAGGACTGGCCAAGCTCAGCAGAAGATTCGAGGAGGCTTTACATCTTAGTCCGTATTTTTTGATGTCATATTTAAATTAAAAAGAAAAGACCTCTAATTCAAGAAGACAGTGAACTCATTTTTTATAGAAAAATATCTTCTTTTAGAATAATGTTCCAATGTACCAGAAGCAACAAGTGAGGATGAAGAAGCATTTCCTTCTGTTAGCCACACTTCATTCTTTTCCTGTATATAACTTTCTTATGTCCATCATGGAAGAAGGAGAATTAGTTTTTCTAAGCTATCATGTAAGTATTCATATTCAGATGTATTAGAAAACAAGTATTATTTCTGCAAGATCTGGAGACCGATACTGACCCTACTAAAGACAGGAATCATATTGTCTGTATTCTGCTCCTCATCCCAAGGTTTCAGGTATGCATTGGTATAAAAATAAAGACTAAATAGTATGTTTCTCAAGTAAAACTGTGTTATTGAGATGGTGCTCTACCTTCCCCATGCACTCCCTTGGAATGTGTGTGGAGGGTCAGGGAGGCACTGGCTGCAGGCTGGACAGGCTGGGTGTACTGGGAAGGCAGTGGAGGTGGCGGCGGAGTGGCTTGGACTGGGTCATATCGTTTCTCCCCAAATGATCTATCCACAGCATCAGCTTCAGTAGGCTTTCCCCTGTTAAAAGATAAAGGAATAAAACATGCCAACATCCGGCAATGTATTCATTGCACAATGCAAGCTCTCATTTTTTTAAACTACTTCTACCTTCTAAAACATCTAGAAGTTTCACAATGTATTTTTAAAAGTATGCGTAGCTACTCTACTAAAATACATGAACAAGTTCAACCATGTATCAGCACAAGAGATGTCAAGAAAGCACAAGTACTTTTAAGAATATTATAAAAACATCCAGAAAATAGCAATCAGAACGCAGATGAAATTCTGGGTATCTTAGAATATTCAATTACCAAAACACTATAATAATTGTTAGAGTTAAGAAAATCCTTTGAATATTCTGAAAAAATATTTGCTTTTATCATCCTTGGATGAATGTCTGATTTTGTATCTAAGGTATGTGATTCTGCATTTTCGCCTCTGCAGCAATCAGAGCATCTTATTACATATATAAAAACGTATTAGACCAAGGTTAACAAATTTTTTCAGCAAAGAACTTGACCTTAAATTCGTTCTGCTTTTTGGGCTACATGGTCTGTTTCAACTATTGAGCTCTACTTTTACAGCCCCAAAGCAATCATAAGCCATTATATAAATGAATGAATGTGGCTGTGTCCCAGTAACTCCAAAAAACCTAGACATCTCTTATCAGAAAACAAAACCCAATTATTAGAGTAGCAGATACTGCTTTATCTTATAAGGCCCATTTAAGTAAAATTGGGCCATGTGTGCATATTTTTTTTGTTCTCAAATTCTCACTTGTGAGTATGTAATATATAAAATTCACACAGAAGAGATTATTTAAAAATAGACCCATAATTGCAACACGCCATCAACATTTTACTGCAGAGAGCTAGATCTTCATTGGCTTTATATGCACAAACAAGAACACATATTTGGAGAACATTTTCACTGAAGATTTCTGCTAAACAATTTGGTCTGATGGTTAGCTTTAAATTTATGCTGTTTTCTTGCTTTTGGGCATTTAGGCAGAGTATCAGACAACATTAAAATTTGAAAGTGCATATAATGCCAATGAAACAGTAAGGGGCAGCTGAAGGAACAACCTCACATCAATGCCAGTCTTACCACTTGAAGTTACTTCTCAAGTAATCATAGCTAGTGTAAGATCCCAGAAATCTAGGTGATGCAGAGCAAATGCAACAGAAAAATCAAAGAAAATGGTCAATCTAATGAAAGAAATCTGTACGAAATGAGGCAAAAATGTCATTTTAAAATATAAAGAAAAATATAATCTATCAATTCAGTATAATTAGCTCTTTTATGAAATACACCACCCCTCTCCTTAATCCAGGGGAATTACTAATAAATTACACATAACTTGTGTCCTGTTTGTCCACTCTATACATATTTTTACTGGTATTTTAGTGGATAGCAAAGTGTTTGAGCTTTATTACTTTTCTACCTCTACCCAATTCGATGGCACTTGCTGACACTGAGCAAAAAGTAACCAAATCAAAGAGACATAACTAAGAATAATCAGCAGGTTCTGAGTCAGCGAGAATAAAACGCTCCATTATAAAGAAAGAGATTAGTAAAACAAATTCTCTAAGTGAAAACACAGGGAAAAGTGATAGAAGGTTAATTCCTACATTACAGTAACAGTTATACTGATCCCCAAACAGGGTAATGGATGGTGAATCTCCGAATGGAAGCAAATATCTCTGAAACATGATTATAATCACCATAGGTTCCTTTCTCACAAGACTTTATCTATCTCCTGTAACAAAGCTCTGAAGTGGGTGAGTTCTATATGCAAAATTACCAGGCTGGACTTTTTCTCAAGTATCACACTTGTACAAAAACAACGTAACATTAATCCTATACCTACTTCTTACAGGCTAAAAACTACCATTTATTACTGTGAGAAAGAGAAGCCTCATGGTTAGAGACTTAGAGGCAGACACACCTAGCCAGACATGCACAGCTGCCTCTCCTGTCTTAAGAGGAGGGCGGGCTCCAGCCTCAGAACCCAGTGGAGGGTCATGATGTGTGGAGAACAGCAGTGAAGCAGCACATGCATTTCTCTTGACTTTTGTGTTTCTAGGCCTGGGATACGGTGGTTTTTGGTTTTTTTTTTTTTTGGCTCTTAACCTCTGGTAACAGAAATAAAATTAAAAAAATTTTGCCCACATTAGAAAAAATGTTAAAAATCAAAGATTTTTTTAACTTCAAGGAAGGCAAAGTGTCAAGACATTGTGTAGTAAATTATAAAGTATCTTGCCTTCTGTAAATAACACTTAATGATTCTTTTTCTTCACCTTCCTTGTTTCTTACAAATAAAAACAGAGATCTTAAGTGAACATTATTTGAGCAGGAAACTAAAAAAATAATTGGGGTTCTTATAATTTACTTTATGTAATCAAATCTTTGTATTTCACTGATTTTTTAAAAATAAGTCTTAGGTGAAGTAACATACTTAGAAGAGTAACTAGAGAAATTTGATTGGCTCTGAGAGTGGATAGGCTTGGCAGACTCTGCAAGATGGCCAGCAGGAAGGTGTGCTGAAGGTTTGTTCTCAAAACTTCTTCGGTCAAAGTATGAGAGCTGTTTCCGGTAATATTCTTCATCTTCCTCAGGATCATAATGATTTGAACGAACAATATCTTCAGGTGGCTTCATTTGAGGTTTTTGAGGTTCTGGGACCCTGGCAAATAGAGAAACAGAATTTCTTAGATGTTAATTTTACAAAGAAAATAGAATATATAGCTCTTATCTTGACCTTGTCATTGGCTGACATGATTATGCAAGGATCTAGCTGAGCCACCTGGCAAAGTGGATATCCTTAAGCCGTGACAAAATGAAATGACAGTGATTGTAGCAGTGGGGTCAAACATACTAGAGACGGTAAGGCTGGCTCAGGATAGGAGAAGGCTCAGAGCCCTTGTTCACAGGATTGCTATAGTATGTAGTTGACTTGACAGCACACAGCAACAAATCCTCCCCTCTACTCCCTGCAAAAAAAGGTGGTGGGAAGGTCCCACACTTATAGTTATCCACAAGTTTATTTCACTAATTAGTTACTTACTAATGATACAGGCTAAAGGAGACATCATGACAGTTTACATTTTCAGGAAAAAAGCATGAGTCATTAAAAGAAGAGGGAAAACTTCTATGAAAGCTAGCAGTGCCTCTGGATTAGCAGCACAGATGTATAGTTTCACCTCTGCGCAGAGTGCTCAGGAAACTGACAAGCACATGGAGCATTTGCACCAACTGGTTAATTTTAATTAACTTGAGTGTGTTTCCTCAGACCTAATAACTTAAGGTTTCAAACATCTCAAAGCATTTTAAAAGCTAAAAACAATACAAATCTAATTTTGTAGGTTTTAACATGTAATATTTCAGTTATTTGTTTAAAAGAGCAACAAAAATCTGCTTAAAAATTTGGTACAGAGGCATAATATAGCCATCTTATTTCTATGTCTCGTTCCATGCCTCTTCAACAGGGTAAAAGATGATTTTCTCATTGACTGAACAACTCAGTTACGTACCACCAAAGCCCTCTGTACGGTACCATTCCAGCATACCCACCTGTAGAGTGTTTTGTCATGTTCACTGAACTGATTCTGAGGAGTGGGCTTAGGACCAACCATGGGAACACTTGGAGGTTTAGACGGTACTTCTGGAGGCTGGGGGAGGGGAAAGATAGAAACATGTCTCAGGAGTAAATAAACAGAAACCATGCGGGGAGAAGGCGGGAAGCAAGGAAGAGCTAGGATACCCACTGAACCACCCTTCACTTAATGGTGCTTCTGCATATAAGAAGTGATGATAAATTTACCTTAAAATTTACTGTATCACTTATATCCTTCTTGTTCTCTAATGATGCAGATCTTTTGTTTTCAAACATTTTAACTCTAGTGAGCACTGACTGTGGTTTCATTGCTGGATCTTCTTCCTCCTCAGCCGGAGTTGGGGGTGGAGGCAGTGGTTTGGTGTTCAAAGGCAAAGCTTCTGTCTTCTGTTGGGATGAAGGTAGCAGAGGTGGGACAATAGCAGCACCATGCAGAGGCTCATAATGGCCTGCTTTGGAGGTAAATCCCTGTGGTGATACTTGCTCATAACTTCGAGGGTACTGGTCAAAATACTGCTTGGGCTCAGAAGGCTTAGGACTTGCAGAAGGGTACGGCTGTGCTTCAGGCCTGTATCTGCTATGCACATCATACCCCACTGTTGTCTGCTCTTCATGGCGGAGGGTAGAAGTTCTAGGTGGTTGTTCATAGCATGGTCTACTGTCATAAGACAGAGCTGACTCTTCAAAATGTGGGAAATACCCTCGTTCTGATGACTCTTCAGGATGCTGCCTGGAGTCAAGCTCTCGAGAATGCTGATTATCGTAAGAAGGTCGAGGTTGATAGGACTGTTTGTCATCATAATATGACCACTGTTCTTCATATGCAGGGATTCGGTCTTCATATCGCAGGCGATGGTCATAGTTGCGAGAAAATGGGTCCGTATAGCTGGCGGTGTCATATCTGTATGGTGGCTGCTCAAGGTCTCTGCTGGCTTGTTTCGCTACATGTAGGGGCTGTGTCTCATAGCTCAGACCAGGCTCTTTGTCTGGCCTTAGCCCTGGGTGACCAACAGGTGGCTGCTTCAAAATATGATTCTGCCTCATAATTTCTTCAGGATATGGATCCTTTCTAAAGACCTGTGTGTGTTTGTGTATTAAAAAAAAAAAAAGAAAAAAGAAAAAAACCAGAAAACTGTTTCAGTATAAATGCTTTATTTTAAATTTTCTCTATATCATTAGGGAAGCCTTGATTTAATACGTGAAAATAGTAATATTCTTCTATTTATTTTCAGAAGAGACTGGATTAGTGAAGAAAGCTAACTTAGGTGCAAGTTCAAAGTTTATAATGCAGGTAGTAGTCAGTTAAAAATAATTATTAAATTGAGACAATTAATGTACTGAGCTATTGATTTCACTTAATTTTGACACTGAAAATAAAAGCCAGAAAGAAAATTTATTGACACCACCATTTAGAAAAATCTTGTTTCTAATCAGTTTCAACTACACAGTAAGGAGTCCTAGAAGATATAGGAAACAAAATAAATAAAAAGAAGCTATGAGATAAATCCCAATTAAAAGTCCTCTTCTCAAATGATCAGTATACTGCTGGAAGCCATGCAAACTACAAAACTGAAATGACCTGTACTGATTTGAAAGCATTATGATATAAAAGCCTGCAGTGAAAAAGCAAAAGAACACTTAAAGGGCAAAGCAAAGTGATCATGTGCTAGAGAGATGGAGAGCAGCCAATGAGTGCAGCACGGCAGCACAGGTACCTTTGCTGGCTCTACATGCGACGACAAGGATGGCTCTGGATCCCTGGGCATTAGGGGAGCTGTCTCAGTACTTGGTGTTCTTAAATAATCAGCTTGTGGTGAGTAAGTGGTGGAAGGAGCTGGGGTGGGCTCCTCTAGTTGGACATTAGTTAGATTTACATTATGATTAACAGCAGAGGTTGATGATGCTGGGGTTGTTTCAGACGGAAGGTAAGGGGCTGGAGATGAGGCTTCTGCTTTCTGTGAAGTGTTTAAAATATTTTAAACATGGTGTTTCTACTTATTGATAATTTCCCATTTCAACTTACAGTGGCTGAGGCATACATTTTAAGTGTGCTGTATAACAAGACTATGACGTTATGCTTTCAAAAAAAATAAAAAAATAAAAAATCCAGTATATAGTGCTGTGTAATACGAACCCACAAAGTTTAGAATTAAGTCACTGGTAATTTCAAATTGAAATTCAAGTTTAATTCTTAATATGAAGGACTAAATATATTCTTTAACTCAATCATTGCATTCTACAATTAATTATGCACGTCTAACTACAAACCGTTGAATGCTTGCTGCTTACCTGTTGAGAAGCTGTTTTAAATCCAGGGGAGTCTATTCTATGAATTGGCTGTGGCTGCGCTTGTGGTGAATAAGGAGGGTATGTTTGGTTTTCGTGATGCATTCCCGAGGAGTCCTCTCTTACTGGCTCAGAGGACCGTGTAATGGCAGACTCCGGTGGAGTCCCAACCTCATCGTTAAGAGTTTCATCTAGTTCTTGATCAGTGTAGGCCCCGCCTTCTGTATCTGTGTCTTCATAGTCAGAAGTGTGTCTACTGTCGGTGCTATACATTGAGTATTCACTACCAGGGGCTGACAGGTAGGATAGACGATCATCATGCAAATCAAGGTCATCACTTGTAGCACCATCCGCCTGGGTCAAATAAAAGTAAATTAAAAATTTTATTCAGTAGTTCTTTAAGCGATGGCCTTTATTTTACAAGGGAGATTGAAAAGAATAATTTCTTTAAAAGAGAAATTACATCTATTTGCTTTCAATTTATGACAAAGAAAAGTGAAGAAGATTGTACAGGTACACATGCAGGCACACGGAGCATCTCTGGAGATGGGAAGGACTTGGATGAACAGGATGCTGGCTGGCTGGCCAGAACAGAACTGGACTCTGGGCTGAGTCCCAGAAGACAAGAAAGAAAGCTGGCCTCACTCAGCTTCTCATCAAGCCAGAAGAGGGACCGTGCTCCCAAACCAAGCGCACAGCAACAGACACACTGACAAAACAGCACACATCAACGATAGATGTAAAAACCACAGCTTGAGTAAGGCCTAATATAGTTTGAAAATAATGACTTTAAGTCCTAAAGCTTTTATAAAACACAACAGGAAAGTCTTGTCTAAGCAGTGGTTACCTCATTGAACTAAGAAGAATTTTCTTCTTTATAATTTTCCAGAGTAGTATCCAATGGATGGAGAGAGGAGAATGCAGTGATGCTTCTCATTTAGAATGAAGAGTTGAGTTGGTTTCTAACTAAGAGTTGAGTTAGTCAGTGCTGCAGCCCCTCTTCAGAGTAGCCCAAAGACACGATAAAGTTGCCATCAATAGGCTTTCACCGGGTATTGTTGGAATGCCTGGTGTACAGAGAATAGTCCCTGAAGACTGATCAATTTGGCCTGAGAGTAGGAGGATGTGCAATCCAGAGTTCAGAAGAGACCTCCTCTATTCAGCATGGACTGATGGACAAACATGAGGCTCTTTTCCTCAGGAGGATACATTAAAGTAATGCATGTAGGAGGCTTTGTTGTGGGGCTCTGCCAGTCTGCTGTGCAAGGAGCAGGCATTTGTGCAAGTCAAGTCACCTGAAGGGAACTTTCCAAGTTGTCCTCTGTCTGGCTCTGTGAGTATTTGATCCTGAATAGCATTCTGACACAAAATACTATTCTGTTATGGGATTCTGTAGCTATAGGTTTCAAGGGAGCACCTCCTAGGCTGGGAGACTGAGAATCCCAGGGCTTTCTTACAGCAGAGTTTCTCACATTGAAATGTCTATAGCTTACAAAATGGTGAAGACTACTGCAGAAGGGAAATGTGGGTGTCTACATTAAATTGCTGAAAACTTGGCTATGTCTAAAACAATAGAACCAGGGGAAAATAGTTAAGGTCTTGTAGAAGAGGAAGTCGTCTAGCTTTGTTGTTGGTATGAAATTCAGAAGTGAGTAAGAATCTCACATTACTTTAAATTAGGAAATGATTAGCCTACATGCTAAGAAGTCTCCAGATGACTCTTAGTAGGGAGCATATAAGATGTTATCAGATTTTGCCAAAAAGGAATTCTTTCTAGCACTAGGGTCAAAGTAGAGTGGGAAAGTCAATGTGAAATGAAGTGGCTTTAGTTTAAGTGTCCACCGTGTTAAAACGTAACTGAATGAAACATGGGGAAATATCAAACTTGAATTAAATAACAAAAATTACTTCTAATTTATAAACTGTATCGATTTCATTTTCCTCACATAAAATGCCACGGGAATTAGATGTATATTTTAACATTCCAAGCAAGGAAAGGATGCATAGAATAGTATTACAGAGAGGAAATGGAATATTAAGTTCTGTTGACTCTGCAAGCCTCTCCTGGATAAACAGACTTAAATACTTTGGGAAAACATTTGAAGGATTCATCGGTGTAAGTTATAAACATTCTATCTGATGAAGAATGTTAACAGAACTGTGCTGCCCCTGATATAACTATGAGAAGACCGCAATCTTTTTGGTCAGATGATGCTAGAGTAAAAGTTAGTAACAGTGAATGTATTACTGTAAAGTGGTGAAGTGGCTAGATCCCCCCACACCTTTGTCAATTCCATCATGTGTCTCAGCTATAATACTGATTAAAGTGGTCTTATGATCACATTTGCATGCTGCTTCCCCCAGACTAGTACTGATGAGAAAAATCAGTTGTGACACATAAATATGAATGAGGATAGCAAATACTCCCTCAAATGTAAATGTTCTAGTATCTCTTTTTGCAAAGGCTGTGTTTCCTGGGCAATGGGCACAGAAGTCCTAAGCATGCAGCATGCACGGCTGGAGCATCTGTAGCCATAAACAGGCAGAAGGAAGCAGGGTCCATGCAGGGGCAAAACACAACAAAAACCCAAACCAACAAGAAAATACAAAAACCAAAAAGACAAGACAGACTCCTCAATTTTCCCTAACAACTCAAACTTATTAATTCTGGCCTGCTATGAAGAAAACCACAGACACAAAAGCAAAAAGTTTCTTTGACTGTGTATGCTCAGAAAAGTATTAGCTTTTTCAACAAAATAAGTGTGTCTCAGCAAAAATTGCTCAACACTAGAAAAAAACAACAAAAATACATCAGTATTTTAAGACTGGATGTACATGACATAAAAATTCATTTAAGAAAAAAAATCTATCACTTTGCCTCTCACTTTCCAAAGTTGCATGTATGATGGGTGCCAGGTAGAAAGAAAAAAAAAATGCTTTGTTAAGAATGTAGGGAAATGCTGAATTAAACAAAGTTAGCTTGGAAAAAACCATGTACTGTTATCTCAGAGACTTTCCAATGCTGGCAGATACTGGAACATCCTCAAGGGGTTACGTTTTGTAGGAGTCCTCACAAGTATTTGCCTTCATAGTGTGCTTCTTTCTTAAGGCAAGTTTAAGAAACAAGCATGTAACTTAATGACCCTCCTTTAAGGAAACTCAAGGAGGAACAAATGTTCTGACTGGAGGTCATTCTTTAGTGAGGTGGAGGCAGAGTCAGAACTTCCCATACAGGCATACCCTACTGAGTAGAAATGCAACAGATGGTAAACTTTAAGAATCCCTTATTAGCAAAATCAACTTCCACGATTTTTCCGAGATTATGGACACAAATAATAAAAATACCAACTTTCTCAGTTACTCTAACATGGTGATCCAATCAGAAAACATCTATAATAAGCAGGCATCTCACCAATTACATAATCTACTGAACAAATAAGAAAGGTAACAAAAAAATACAAAAATTTCTTACCTTTCCCTCTGAAACCCATACCAGCTGGTTCTGTTGTTGCTGAATTGCTTCTTTTAGTGCACCATACCAACCATCATTCATTGAATTTAAATTAATTGTAGCTAAAGATAAAATAAACAATGTCACTTTATGGTTGAACATTCTCCAAACTCAAGAGAATGCACCCAAATAGCTTAGGGCTCAATCATCAACACAGAAATGATTGAAAAGATGGCATATAAGGGTAGAGGACGTCAGACATTTCTATCTTGGTCCTATGTATTTTCTTTCATACAAACAAGGGCTGTTAATACAAGCGACACCTTTTCAGGCAAGGGTCCTACAAGTTGGGTAGGTTTTTTTCTGAATTCATGTAATATTTATTAAATGCTCTTTTACACTTCTTACAAGTAGGGGATATCAACCAACATGTCATGTAATACCCCTACCTACTTTGTAATTGTTCAGGTTACATTTTTCCCCTTCCATTTTTGAATAAAGGTTTATAAATCATATTCTTTTTTCATGAAATTTTCATTACTTATTGTCATATTTTAAGTCCCCAAACTACCTTCCCCCCCTTATTATGCTTCATTCGTGTAATTTTTTTCTGCTCTCTCGCTCCACTTACCAAACTCTCTGACCTTGTGATCCGCCCCTTTCTGTACCCTCATCCCTCTGCTCCCTCTTCTCTCTCTGTACATCCATACACCTTTCAGTGGTTATCCTGTTTTTACAATAGTGGTCTTATACACTGTTTGTTCTTATACACCTAAGTTAGTTTACTCAGTATAATGCTCTCTAGCTGCTCTCATATACTTTTTAAAATTGTGCTCCTGAATGCATAGTATTCCACTGTGTGGATGCACCAGTTTCTTAAGATAGCCTTTTCTTGATGGGCATTTGGGCTGTTTCCATGTTTCTGCTATTACGGATAGTGCTGCTATGAACATCCGTGTACAAATCACTGTTTGTATCTTAGTTCTGTTCTCCCTGGGATATATTTCTAACAGTGAATAGCTGGGATATATAAAATTGCTATGTTCAGCTTTTTTTAAGGACATGCCAAACTACCTTCTAGAGTGGTTGTACCATTTTATAATCCCACCAACGGTGTATGAGAGTTTCAATCTGTTTGTAATGAGTCATGTAAGTTTTGTTGTTGTTATGCACCTGAGTCAGAATCAAATTATAGTTGATTCTCCAGACACGTACAACTGTTATTGTTACTGCTGTGTACAACTGCATCAGAACTGACCCACAGCTGCCCTCTAGTGGGTGGCCGAGACAGTAAATCGCACAGGAGGAGAATGCCCTCTTTTTCCCATGGAGCAGCTCGTGGAGAGGAACTGCTTGCCTTTGGGTTGACAGTGCAATACATTACTACTAAGCCACCACATATGTTTGAGTACTTGGTAATACAACATTTTGTTGCTCATTTTATTTAAGTTGGGAGACTTTTAACATACTCACTTGTAAAAAGATGATGATTATTTTTACGAAGTTTATGAGACCGTTCATATAATTTCCTGGCACTCTTCCGAGATTCTGGACATAGTCTCATTCTCATTGTCTTCACACCCTGCTTAGAATCAGGGTTAAGGAATACGACAATTGGATACCACTGCGCATAATTCAAACGATCAACTGCATTTGGGGTAACATCTAATAAAGCATGTTTGTCCTAGAGACAGAAAGAAAAAAATAAATCAATATATAAGGATATAAAACAGATAATTCTTTAAGAAACATAACCAATAGGAAAGAAGTAATTCACTATACTATAGTCAACCGGTAAGCTTTTAAAATGTCAGGAACATGTTTTAGAGAAAAATTAAAACTGTAAGTTAATTTTTAAGAATTCTAACCAAAGTGAAAAAGCTGTACTTTAAAACCAGCTCACTTTCAAGACTTAGATCCAATTCTTGTAAAACTAATAGGATTATGTGTTCTGTAAGGCTGAAATTAAGTATCACAATTAAATGTTGCTGACATATTATATATATTATATATAGATGTATCTATATCATATTCACTACCCAAATGCAACCTGAATTATACTGATGTAAGGTAAACAAAGCATTTTTAATCACATTTGATTACTATGTCATTTTTGTGGTAATGAAAAATCATCTTTAGATGCACATAATAACTTTCCCCTGTAAGTTATTATAACAAGGCCTTTCATTAAGGGCTTAATTTTCTTACAGTGTCAGTAGCGTCATCTTGCTTGTATCCACAATTAACACCCTTGGTACGAGCAGTCAAGAAATAGGGAGACACACTGCACTGGGAAAATCTACAGTCAGTGACCTTTACCAATTATTGAGTAGTGATGTCAGTTTGAGGACTAAGGTGCATGTGATTCACGCCAGTCTTTCTGATTACTAGCTATGCATCTGAGACCTGGTCAATGAATAAGGATGACAGAAAAAGAATTGATGCCTCTGAGCTATGGTGTTGGAGAAGAGCACTTAACATCCCAGGCATGGTCACTAGAACAAACAGATATGTCTTGGAGATGGGGCAGCTAGAGTGCTCTCTGGAGGCAAGAATGATGACATGTTGCTAAGAGGTGCTATTCCTTGGAGAGGGACATGATATTGGGAAGGGTGGAGGGTCAGCAAAGGAGAGGAACACCCTTAACCAAGTAGGCTGACACAGTAACTGCTGCAATGGGCTCCTGTGTGTCAGGAATTGTGAGGATGGCGCAGGACAGAACAGAGTTCAGAGCTTTTTTCCATAGGGTTGCTATGTGTCATGCTCGACTTGATGTACCTAACAACAATATCTGTAATAATCTCTTAAACCCCCCCACCCCCCTTTCTACTTTCAAGTGAACTCAACTCATCTCACTTAGACATAAAAAACGATGACAGCTTATAATAAAAAGGTTAACTTTAATGACTTACCTGATCAATGATCTGCTTTATTGTATGGAGGCGAATGATGCCTGAACTGCGTTGGTCAGTGCCAGCATCTCGTGGTTCACTTTCTGGCCACAAAGTTAAGACAAAAAACATTACAGTTCCATTGGTAAAATCAAGGTTTCTTGAAACATGGTATTTGCTATGGGGAGCTTCCCCGAGCACTGGAAGACGCTGACAGCGTCCATTGCCTCTACCCATCAACTGTCAGTTGCATTTTCTCCCCACCCTTTTCCCATGTGAAAACCAAAAAAAGTCTACAGGATGTGTCTAATGTGGAAAAATGACATTCATCAGAAGGAAGAGGAGGAGGAAACCAGTCATAGGTGCCCAAAAACGTTTAGCAATTAAAGAGAAGCAGTATTAATATCAAAATACATGAAAATATAATAAAATTTTAAATAAAGATAAGATCAGTAAAACTCAAACTCTTTGTCACTGAGGTAGAACCAACTCCCAGCTGGTCTTCCAGGTGGATTCTGAGCCAGACAGGAGGAGACTGCCCATCTTTCCCCTGTGGAATGGGCTGTAGGGTTTGAAACACAAGAGAAGTGCTACCTCTGGGTTAGCAGCACCATAGTCCCTAAGGACTAGGCTACAAGGATCATGATCAGTAAGTAGAACTTAACTAAAAATTGTTTAAGGTCACTAAGCTATTAACAGAAACTGGCACAGCAAGACTGCTCACAATCTTGAAAAGTAGATTTTGAAAATGATATCAATGTTTGAGTTTATTAAACTCATAAAGTAATAAAATAACAAATTATAAATATGCAATAAATTTAATATGTAAATATGAAAGAATGAGTTTCAAAAATCCATTTTCCAATATTCTAAGAAAAAGGCAACTAAAATACAACAGGTACCCCCAAAATCAAAAATTAGTTTCCAGTGAGTTAGAAGTTATAGCTGACTCTTCAGCAGATTTTCAGTGGCAGCAAGCCAGAGAGGAGGAGCGTGTCTATCTTCGTCCCCTATAGCAGCAGGTGTGATTTTGGGTTGGCAGCATAATGCTCTACCGACTAGGCCATGAGAACGCTTAACATATATTACCACCCTCAAATATATACAATAGTATTTTCTTTCATTCTTTCTACCCTTGTACATGTACTTGTATTAAGTTCTATTTTTATAATATTTAGAAAGACTGACCCTGCTTTCTTTCTAAGTTTTCATCTTATTATCTCCAACAATCTGTAGAGTGTAAGAGAGCTATTTTTCATGCAAAACATATTATGCAAATAAATAGCACGAAGCCTCACTCATTAGAGCCAATATACTATACATGTCTGCCCTGTCCAGTCTATGATATAAAGAGACTAACAGATTCAGCTAGAAATGCACAATCTGAAGAGGATAAAATTGAAAAAGGGGACCTTCTAAAGATTAAATCCCTGTGCACATCAAAAGTATTTTCCTGAGAATATGAGAAATGAGGTTAAAACAATTGTACACCAATGTTCATAGTAGCGTTTGTTACTCAGCATCGTAAGAACACGGAAACAGCCAAAATGTCCAACCAAAATCTAATGGATGGAGAAATTATGGTACGTTCACACTATGGAATACTACACAGCATGTAGGAGCAATGATTTTGTAAATTACTACCTAACTTGGGAGCGACTGGAGAACATTATGCTCAGTGAAGTAACTCAATCCCATAAGGACAAATACTGTACAAAACCATTACTGTAGAATGTGTATGGCGATCCAAGGAGAAGGAGGCTGGAAGTGGAGGGGTGAGGATGGCCGGGTGTGTGTGAAGGAAATAGGAAAGATTTCGTGTGAAAAAGAAAGGTATTGAACTCTGCAAATAAATCAGTATAAAATAAAAAAAAGAAAAGAACAAAACCAACAAAACATCTACCAGAGTGAAAAGAAAACCTACTGACTGGGAAAAAACATGTGGCAATACCATTTCATACAAGGGTCTCATCAAAAGTTTATAGAATCCTACAGGGTCTCTACAAGAAAAAGACTGATCACACAATTACAGAACGGGCAAAAGACATGGAAAGATTTTTCACAGAGGAAGATATTTGGTTGGCCAACAGACACATGAGAAACACCAATAATCACTGGTAATAAGAGAGATATAAATCACTGGTAATAAGAGATCAATTATAAAACTTATTACCAGTGATTACAAAACATTTTCCAGCAGAGTGAAAAGAAAACCTACTGACCGGGAAAAAATATTCACTGGTAATAAGGGATAAAAATGAAAAAAAAAAAAAAAAAAGCTAAAAATCATTGCAATAAGAGAGACACAAACAAAAATCACACTGAAATACCATCTCATCCCAGCTGTTGTTAAGTGAAATCAAGTTGAGTATGACTCATAGTGATCCTATGAACAAAAGATCTGAAAACTGTACTATAACTATTGCAATTTTTCTAATGTTTAGTTTCCAAAGGCCTGTTGTTTAATATGTGGATGCCAACCCTGCTTCCAAGCCTGCCTTAATCTGGGATCTCTACCAAACCCTGTCTACCAAGGGTAACCATTAGGACACTTGCCACACAAGTGGCACAGCATTCATTATTACAGAAACTTCAAGTTATCTAAGTACAGCAAACTGACAGACAAGTGCTATACCACTTAGAACAATGTTCTTCCCAAACAAAATTAACAGCAGGTCTGAAGGCCAAACAGACGTTTAAATACAAAGGCCTGCCTACCATGTCCTGACTAACTTAAACAAGAGGCTTCTAGCCCACAACTAGTTGTTAACTAAATCCAGGCAAATAGCTTACACACAATTCTTAATTGGGGGGTGGGGGTGGGGAACGACACACCCAACAAAAAACAATGCAATAGTTTATATCTGACTTTCAGCTGTACCAAGAGACAAGAGAGCCTACCCTCCAAAATTCAACTGCTTTATACATGAGCCTCCAAACTGGATCTTACCTCAATAGCAGTGGCAAAGTTTAGCAGAGTAGCAAGTAATAAATGTTGGCGGGGATGTATCAACACCCTGGAAGGCAGTTTGGTGTTTCTTCAAAAAGCTCAACACAGAAATTCCATATGACCTAGCTATCACAAATGCTTGGAAAATATACTGAGAAAATCAGAACTGAGGCACAAACGAAGGTTTGTACACAAACATTCATAGCAGCATTATCATCCATTGCAAAACCATGGAAACAGCTCAAATGTTCAAACATTATAGAATAGATTGAGAAATTATAGTTCATTTTACCCGATGGACTTACTATGTAGCATGCAGGGGTATGATTTTGAAAATCACTCCCTAACTTGGGAGGGACTGGAGAGCATTATGCTAAGTGAGCAAACTTAGTCTCATAAGGACAAATATAAGACCGTTATTGTATAAACAGAAAGGTAACTAGTAAAATGTGTATGAGGATCCAAGGTGGGGAGGGTAGGAGCAGGGGGTGAGGATGGCCAGGGGGTCATCACAGTGTCACACAATTTATTGGGCAGAGAGAGGAGTGGGTAAAAAATGAGAAAGATCCAGTGTTAAAAAACAATGTATATGAACTTTGTAAGTAAACTAGAACAAAATTAAAAAAAGTCTCCCATGGTAATAAATGATACATGAATCCAAAGTCCCTACTCCTTTCACATATTTGCTACTTTTTGTTGTTATGTGCTATAGTAAAAGCTACAACTTATACCTTATGAATGAAGGCTCTACCTGAGCTAATCTCACTGTCTCTGACACAAATAGCCCCATATTTGTGTGTTGTGTGCTATGTGCCACTGAGTTGACCTATGACTCACAGCGACCCTATGAACAATGGCTCTGAGCCAATCTCATCATCTCTGATACATTTCACCCCATTACCACAGTCAGTGCATCAATTACTCTCATCCAGAGTCTTCATTTTATATGCTGACCCTCTACCCTTCCAAGCGTGATGTCCTTCAAGGACTGGTTCCTCCTGGCGACATGTCCAAACAGCTTGGTTCAAGCCTTTGTTTTATCACTTTTTAGCTAGGTCATCAAGGGAAGTCTAGAGTAAAAAGCTGGAACTGAGCCCAACCTTAACTCACCTGAGGTTCAACTTGTGCTTTAAAAAAATACATAATACTTGACTTATGGTGTTACTGTAGTTTTCATGCCAAGGTTAGAGTTTCAGAATGGGAAGTCTTGTTATTAGAGAGAAATGGTAAACAGGACATAACCACTCATGCTTCTCTCCAAATTAAATGCATATAGGGTAAATGGTAAATTTTCTATCACCAACATGCTTACTTTTATTATTATTGATTCTATCTACCCTTTACAGGAATAATTAATAAAGAAATAGCCTCAACTTCCCTTTAAGCTAGTTTTAAGATTACTTACTTGCAATCTGATAAATATCAGGCTCTTCTCTTGCCAGTTTCTCCCTAGCAACATCAGCTATTGGTCCAAAGATGGTTACAGGTCTGAGAAACCCAGCTGGAGAGGAGGAATTAAAATGAAAAAGAGCACAGTTGATAGTTTCCCCCTTAAAACTGACATAAAGGTTATTAAGTTTCTCTGTAGATGTTAAAACTACCTTCTCGAAGAACAACTCTTTCATAAGCTGGAAATTTTGTTTGAACTGGCTGGGCAGACAAATCTTCTCTACTTTTTCGAAGATTTCTCTTGGAGCTACGAAGACCTCGGAACCTCCAGAAGTCAGCCCGGTCTCCTCCTGCTGTTTTTGGAAGTGTGTACTGCACACTGGCTAACTGCTCTGCTCTACAGAAGGGAAAAAAATAAAGTGTAAGTATTAAAAAAAAACAACCCACTAAAGTGAAATGCAATATATAAAAAGCGTCTGGTCAGAGAGTAGAATTAATTAACTAATTACATTAATGAAGTCAGCTCTGGTTATAAAACATGAATGAATGAGTCAAAGAAAAATCAGAATGACTTGTAAACTTTTACTCAAATCACAAAAGAAAATGAAAAACAAAATTGAAGAGACTCAATGATGTAAAATGTCAAACTCTTTGATATAATGTCATTTAAATCTGGAAGGTAAAAACAGAGACTTTATACAACTAAGGGTGTTACAGATATGGTAAATACAATGAAATAATGAGTTTATTACCAAATTTACCAAAAAGACTGACCTGTCTGCTCAGAGTTTATGTAATTTATGTCTAGGCAAAGTAAACATTTTCATACCTGTTCTTATTAGGGATGATGCCTCGCTCTACCTCTTTATGATTTTTGCCAATTCGAATTGCAAGCCAAGAGCCCAGTTTTCCATTGTACAAAGTATCCACGACACGGAACACCTCTCCTTTGTTAAAACTAAGTCCGTAGGGAGATTCTTTTTCATATTCAAAATGAGTTCTAATATAGAAAGAATCTCCTACATCTGATTCAACAATGCGGCGATAAACTGAAAGGAATCAAAATATGCTATCAATCAACTGTTGGTGCAATAAGAAAATTTGAAAAGAACAAACTAAAAGGAATTAAAACATGCTATCAATCGTTGGTGCAACAAGAAAATTTGAAAAGAACAAAACTTTGTGTAAATTCTGTTAACATTAACAATAGTAAGACCAAGAATATACAATAAATGTGGAATTCTTATTTAAGTATTTAATTACACTTACTCATGATTTCATGAAACTGGGTTTCTTATTGTTTCCATCTTGCAAAGGAGGAAATTAATGTGCAAATAAATAAATGGTGCAACGCCACATGTGTGCAGTTTATTCAAGTCATAGTTTAATTTAGCTGCAGAGTATGGATCTTTCCATTTCTTAAATCAGTGCCTCTGAAACACAGGTGATTATCCCAACCCATTCTCTATAGGTCTGTAACAACATCTACAGACAATCTGGCTGTCACAATTCTGTGTCTACTGGCATCTGGTGGGTGAGAGGGTAAAGATGCCATTAAACAACCAACAACGCTTGGCACTGCAGGAGAGCCTCCACCACAAATGGGCCTAACATGTCAATGATGCCATTGTTGAGAATCTTTATTCTAAATGAAGAGCACAAGTGCTTTATCACAGAGAGAATTCATTTCCCCCCAACTATTTATAACAAATATATAAATGTATCACTTAGAAAATAATAGTTTAATATCCAGAATCTATTTATAGATGCTTTTGCATTGTTCTAATGGCTAAATATATGATTAAGATTTTTAAAAATTGTTTTGTAAAGGCTAGAATGCCAAAAGAACGAACAGATGTGTCTTGAAGTAGGTGGAGCTAGAGTGCTTCTTGGAGACAAAAATAACAAAGCTTTGTCTCACATTCTTTGTTCCTAAGAAAGGCTATTCCTGTTGTAGAATGAGGCTGGCATTGGGGTGGGGGTAAGACAGAGAAAAACTGGATGAAATATGTTTACGGCATTGAAGTCTATGGGGGAGAGAATA